TGTTATTTTCTTAAGAAACACCTTATATAGTTGTATTTTGGTAGGACTAAAGAAATATTTGAAGTACAAGTAAATTATATGTTTGTATGAATACTTTACTGAAAATCCGAAAAATCCGAAAAAATCCGAAAAAACCTGAGGTTGAAAAACCCGAATTTTATTGGTTTGGTTTGATTTATAGATTTAAAAATTCGGCACAAATGGTTTGGTTTGATATTTGAAAAATCCGAACCAACCCGGCCATGTACACCCCTAGTCATGACAGTGTTTTACAAATTTTAGAGAACTTTTTCTCAATATTTTTTAAATATGTAACGGTATAATTTTCAATTACAAGTTCGAAAACTATTTATTTTTCTAGTAAATAAATTATAAACAAAATCAAACCAACCCTCAATAATTCAAGAAAATAGTATAAAATAGAAAGTGGAATGTGTGATGCTCATATTAGAGTGTGTGATTGGATATATTGCAAATCCAACACATTTTAGCATAAAAGTTAGAGACAACCCCTCCCCCCCCACACACACACCAATCATACATACATATATATACTAAAATTTTGACAAATATTAAAATTTGGACCTATAAAAAATACAACGAATCTAATACTGCTATGATTTTAAAACTTGAATTTATCAAGTTTAAATTCTGAATCATGCTCAGAGCCCAAGTCCCCACTGGTACCCACTACTCACATTGTTCAGATTCAAATAACACAGAAATTAAAACTGGAAGCATACAATAATACAAAGATTAAAATCGGTATTTCTCATATTAATAATATGATGTAATATTGTCTCAAAAAGAACTCAATATATTTGTCAATTCTTATCCATAGAAAAACATCATCAAATGGTTGCAACTGTTCAGGTTTATTTGATGATGCATGAAACTTTACTATACTTCAACATTAATCATTAGAAGCACTTGATCAATTATATTTGCTTGATTTTTTCCAAATAATTAATGATAATATTTTAGTTGACATCATCATAGAAATTTTATTATTGTATTATGAAAATGGAGTTGCCTTTTCTTGCTGATGTAATATCCCCTCTTTTTCTTTATGTCTTTATTGGGACATTTGTATTTATGTAAGTTAATTAATTTAACTTACTTTAATCAATGAGTATATTTTCTTCTCAAAATGTTGTAGCTTCACAAATCAAATCAAACATTGATATTTGTTATTATATTTTTTATTTCATATTTATATGTGACTTAATACATATGCATCTATTGAAAAAAAAAAAGAATTTCGGATAATATATAGCAAATGAGTGAATAACATATTGAGTTTTCAAACTAAAAAGGTAAGTAAGTCTGATTCAAACAAGTAGGTGGTACAAGAGCGAGTTTAACTCGTGATTAATCAATAAGTGAAGGACCAATTTTTTGGTGCTAACTAATTGGCGGCCTAAAACAAACTAGATTGAAAACAATTAGAGACAAAGGCTGAGCTAGGTAGGGGTAAAGAGGTTCATCAATGGAAAACTGATTGTATATATCAAATTTAAACTTATTTTTTATGTATATATATAGTAAATATTGATTTTTTTTGATTTTTTCGTGTATTATTTCTTCATATTTTCAAATTCCTTAATTGAAATTTTGACTCATGAATAAACTTTTGGAGGAATATATAAATTAAAGAGGGACACAAAGACAATTAGCACTATTAATATAGAGGGCAAAGTTATGTGGAGAATCGAAATTGCATAATCATATCATATGATTATGTGCCCACTAATTAAATCTTTACTAGTGCCTTCCATGCAG